TACACGGGGATGGTGCATACGCTCACGGTGGGTCCCGGTTTACGTCGGCGAAGCAGCGAATATGCAGCTCATTGAGATGTTGATTTCTTAGTACCCATCAGAACAACACGAGGGGAATTTGTATTACTCGGGATACGACAACAAGGTCCATCAGCTCGCTGAGGGCGCCGAATCGTATACGGGTTACTCGATATGGGTGCGCATAGCATCAGCCTTGTCAGTCGCTTTCCTCTTTTTTTTCTCACATTTTGGTATGTAGGACACGTTCCGCGCGGAATGGGCGTGGCAGATCCTCTTCGTCCCGACCGCATACCGGGGATGGTATCGAGCATGCTGGCAGATTATAAAGAGGTGCGTTCGCAGATCTACACCACACTGGGCATTTTTTGAGATCAAAATCTCACAGGGTGGCTGGTTGCCTATGTGGAAAAACATCGTGGAGACGAACATAATGGTACGCTCAGTATACTTCTATACCTACTCCATTCAGGCTCAGTGGCATGTGCTGATCGAAATTCTGTTTGTGCACCTCAGGTGGGCACCCATGCAGACTCGCTTGTCGCCGAAGCGGTCCTGAAGGGCATCACTGGCTTCGACCGCGATCTCGCGTGGGAGGCGGTGTGGAAGGACGCTACAGTTCCGCCGAAGGATGATGCGACTGTCGTGTGCGTCTCGTCTCTTTCCACTTCCTTTCGCTTGGATGTTGATTTTTTTTCTTTTTCTTGCTCTGTTGATTAGCTATGCTGATCGTCAGGAGGTGTGTTCTCGTGTTTACTTAGAGGTTGGATATGGAATCTGATGCGATATTGTGATATGTAGCATGTGGACTACGAAGTGCGTGCAGGCTTGTCGACGGTGTACGCCACTGCTGGGAAAGGATGGGTTGCGGATGATATACATTCCGAGAGCGCGTCGCGGACGCTGGATTACGCGTGTATGTGGCGCCCTTCTCTTCTACCACTTCCACATCGGCACACCGCTCCCCACCCTCGTCCACTTTCCCCCCCTCTTGATCTAGAAGCTAATCCATTGTGCCTTTAGACGACGACTATGCGGCCTATGTCCTCGCGCGCGAGCTTGGGAAGCCGGACTCGATTACCGAGTTCCTTCTCAATCGGTCCATGACCACAGCGTTCAACCTCTTCAATGACGAGACCGGGTTCATGGAGGCCCGGAACGCGAATGGAAGCTGGGCGGGCCTGATAATGGGTGGACTGAGGGTGCGCCGATGTTCAGCCGATGCGTATATGGCAATGCAGAAATGCAGTACTGAACGGATCTTTTTTTCTTTGCACAGGCGATAAATGGGCATACTCTTTCGACGTCGTACACGATATGGACAATCTCATCGCCCGTCGCGGCGGCGAGGTGGCGTTCGTGCAGAGCTTGGACGCGCATTTCGACGGGGGTCATAATGACCATTCTAACGAGGCACGTCTTCGTCCAAATTCTACCCGAGAATGATGGCAGACTGATTATTTCCGTGGACGGACTAGCCTTCGCACCATATACCGTACCTCTATGCTATGGCAGGCGCGGCATTTAAGACGCAGGAGAAGGTTCGGGAGATTGCAGTCGCGAACTATAATAACACTCCCACAGGACTATCTGGGTATGAGTTGCTTTTGCTGTTATTGTATAACGTAACGCTGACGCTGGTAATTTCAGAATGAGGACTGTGGCCAGATGAGCGCATGGTTCATCTTCAGCTCAATGGGCTTCTATCCCGTAAATCCAGTGTCTGGGGAGTACATCGTTGGATCGTGAGTGTCTTCCTTTCACCTCTCCGGGATAGAATTTTCATCTGCGTCTATCATGTAGCCCGTTCTTTGAGAAGATCTCCATCGACCTCGAGAACCCGACGTCTGCAGGAAGCGCCTCCAAATCATCGTCCAAACGGCTCACAATCACCGCACTTGGGGCACGCACCAAACCGTACATCAAGTCGCTCACCATCAACGGTGTGCCCGTAACAAAACCCGTCATCGCGCACTCACAAATCGCGCACGGCGCGGATGTCGTTTTCGAGATGAGCGCGGAAGTCGAGGCATGGGGGAACGATGCGGCGGTGCTCCAGGCGCTGGGCGTGCAGGTCGGGTCCGTCCGCCGACGGAGGGGGAGATAGTGTTGTGGGTGCAATGGAGCGTGCGCAGTCCGAGGTGAGCATACCGTCGCCTGCTCTACTTGAATGTGGGCTGATGCTGATGATATCTCCCGCGATGAGCTGTGATCGACGGGGAGGATGATTCTGCAGAAACTCTTTTGCTGAACGCGTAACCGTGTATTTAAATGTTGAGGGACGAGAGGTGTTGAACGATTGGAGGACTGTTCTGATGCGATGCAGAGTGGAAGCTGAGGCCTTGGGTCGATGGATAGAAAATTTAACAGATGCTTCTTACTGTCAGAATCGCCTTGTCACTTGTGTATCGTATCTACAACGTCACGAGTTGACCCCATGTCTTCCTGTCATCTTATATATTCATAATTATACTGTTTGCGACACATTAAGGCGCTAATTGCGTGTCAATTTTGTATAATCGTTAGCGAAAGCTTTGGAGAACAAATCGTCTGAAGTTCGGCGCTTGAGTGACTGGCAGTTGCCGCCGTGTATGATTCTCCCGTAGGCAGAATCCAGTGGAATTAACTTTCCACCACTTCTCATTAGAATTGAAGCAAAAACTTGGGTGAATACACGAGGTCAATCGTTTGAGTATTTATGACAATGCTTCCTATGTCAAATTCTAAAGTTCACACAGATTGTCAATTTAGGCGCCCGTCTGCACGTGTCGCTCATCGATATAAGTCAGACGTACTCGCAGTCTTATCACCCATTCCTTTCCCCATGTCTATCTCTCAGGCTCCCAGACTCGAGCTCGAAGATGCGGCCCAGAGCACAAACAACCTGAGGCAGTCTCCACTATGTACGTCCCTTCCGGATCCACCTCACATCATGTCGACTCATTGTGACGATCTTTTTCATAGTCTCTGATAGCGACGCTGATCTGGCCTTCGTCTCTGCTGATGGTATCACTTTCAGAATATACAGCAAGTATCTAGAGGCCACCAGTGCCGGATTGGCTCCCCTACGTCCACCATCATTGATCCTCTCGAAGCTATCCTCTTGACGGAATCAGCGGCCGTTCTCGAGGTCCTCTTCCAGTTCGTTCATCCTCGATCCGAGTCAGAGCAATACCATCAGCCATCCGTGTTTGATATGGAGGTCCCCTGTTCTTTGAGGTCGCAGAAGCGGCCGAGAAGTATCTTGTATACGGGGCTATGAATATTTGTATGACATACATGCAGTACGCCGCTGTTCCTTGTCCTTTGTAACGCATCGATTGACTTGCTGTTGTACTTTTGGAAGCCAAGTATATTCATCCCATCCAGTCGAAGTGCTCAATCACTGTGCGAACCATGGTTATGATGCCCTCGCCGACAAGGCAGCCATTGTTACTATATCGCTCTCAAACACCATCGATAAAGCTTTAGGGGGTCTCAAAGACCCTGGCGTTGCGTTCAAATGGGTATTGAGACAATGCACACCTCCTATTACAACGTATCTAACTGACAATTTTCCAGATGAAATATTATGGCCATTGGCTGCAAATACCAAAACTTGCTGGGGATCTATGGACCCAAGAAGAAGCTCGAGATTCTTCTATTTGTCACCGACGCGCCGCTTTGATAAGTGCATTTCTACATCGCGTAACCGCCAATCTTTCGAATGGCGTAGAAGGTGTATATACTGCGGTGAATTGCACAAATCCACGCGGTGGTTGTGATTGCAACGCCGGCAATTCAAGCAATTGGCAAATAATAATCAGTCGGAAAATTCGGGTATTCCAAAGTTTAGTCAGATTACTTGAATCTATCTTAATGAAAGGGATACATTGAGTACATAACATGATTGTAAAATTTGAACTGTACGACTGTTGAAATACATGTACCGTTTAGTAGAACGGCTGTTTACAATGGAATGAAGGGAATTTTGAACCTTTTCGGAGATCTTTCTTTATCTGATAGAACTGTCTGCGATCAATTCAGACGCGTCAATCTTTTAATTGGCGTCCTCTTGAAGCTGCTGCGACTGAAAGGGGGGGGGAATAATTTCTCAGGGGCACGGGTAAAAGGCAGTGTGCCAGCAGTGAGGGGAAGTGTGTGCGTGAAAGTGCGTGAGGGTGCGTGAGAATGCGTGAAGATGAGTGAGAATGAGTGGATAATGAGTGAAGGTGAGTGGGTGACGAGGGACGATGAGTGAGGGTGAGTGAGTGCGTCAGTGAGTGGTCCAGACCGTCCAATGAGCACGGAGCACTGAGCGCTAGGGCCGAGACCAAGCCTACGACCTTTGGACGGCCTTTAATACTACCCCAGGAGGTCAGACAACGTTAATACATGATATATTCAAGTTAATTGTCGAATAGTAGGTAATGCAAACTGGATATAATTTCAGAGGCCAATACAGCTCTTTTTACAGTACTTATTGCTCAGTTAAGTGTTTTTGAAGTGAAGAAAGGGTATATAGCCATTAGTAGCAACGGTTACAGTTACTAAACAGTTTCCCCTCATTCTACACTTCTACAAGATTGTATATAAACTCTTTATATACTGTTTTATTATAAGCTACACATTTCGCGCACTCAATACTCAGCGCCCTCGCAAAGCCTGCGAGACTGGTGCATAAATGGAAGGAATGTGTGACGATGTGGTTCCGTCATATCCTTACATCCTTTAGAGAGGTAATAACGGGCTAGTAGCTTAGATGGTAGAGCACAGCCATGGTATGGGGTATGCCAATACCCTAGAGGTCCCGGGTTCGATCCCCGGCTGGTCCGATTATTATTACTGTTTGTCCTGACTGTGTCACAATGGCGGACCAGTCTAGATGAACCTTAATGGTCCTCAGAGGTGGCAATTCCTGGGGATTACCTCGCTGAAGGAGTGGGGGGCTCTGTGACGATGTGGTTCCGTCATATCCTTACATCCTTTAGAGAGGTAATAACGGGCTAGTAGCTTAGATGGTAGAGCACAGCCATGGTATGGGGTATGCCAATACCCTAGAGGTCCCGGGTTCGATCCCCGGCTGGTCCGATTATTATTACTGTTTGTCCTGACTGCGTCACAGAATGAATGGTGAACGTTTCACTGAAGGGTCGTCGAACTCCGCATAAGAGAGTCCGACGCAAGCCTTGCATCGTCAGGTTCCCGGTTCCTTCGCGCCTCACGTCGACCACCCCGTCCTCCGCGCCCTCCGTCGCTAACTGCGTCCCCATCTGCGCTGGCCGCACTCGCATCGGGGCGCCGCGTCGAGCGCATGTCGTTCGCGCGGCTCGAGAGGAGCACGGTACGTCTGCTGCTTACGGGAGGGCGGCGGTTGGGCTCACTCACCGACAAGTACAAAACGAAACAATCACATTCCAAACTTGAATATCCATTATAATCATTATTCAGTCGACTAAGTGCGAGATTGAGAATGTAAGTTTGTAATACAAGTGAGTGAGTGCAAGTGCAGATAAAAATAAGTGAGTGAGTGTAAGTGAAGGGAAAATACAAGTGAGTGATAAGTGCACTTACTTCTAATTAAATGAGTGATAGACGAGTGAGGATGAGTGGGGATATGTAAGAGTGCGTGAGGGTGCGTGAAGGTGCGTGAAGGTGCGTGAAGGTGCGTGAAGGTGCGTGAGAGTGCGTGAGTGCGTGAGAAAAAGTGAGTGAGAGTGCGTGAAAGTGCGTGAAGAGTGCGTGAGGGTGCGTGAGGAGTGCGTGAGGAGTGCGCGGTGCAGTGTGGCACGTATTCGCTTGCGGAGCGTCTAACGTCGTATACTCACAAGTTACAACCTTACATGTAATTTGACGTAGTTCACACCAATTACACAAACAGTTACTTAGGCTACGCTGAGCGCCTCGCAAGTGCCTCGCTTGCCCGACACTTTCCAGACCCAAACCTTCATAGACTTTTTGACGTGATTCATCGTGAGCTGTAGCAGTATAGAGTGTGCACCTGCCGGACTCTGAATACTATCCCTTACATATATACAAGCTATGGAGGTGCCTCATTTGTTAAGAAAACAGTTTTTAACGGTAGCTATATACATATAGCATCGATACAGAACAGCTATATACTACCCATATCTCTTGTGCAGTTTTCGCGCAGTGATTTTGCAATGGGAGGTGTAGTTGAGACGGTGGGAACTCGTTGCCGAAGTTGCCGGGAGCGGTGCCGGCCGAAAAAGTGAGTGAGGTGAGTGAGCGCGAGTCGTAAATGAGTGAAAGTGAGTGCACGCATCCTCACGCACTCTCACGCACCTCACTCACGGGCCACTGCCTTTTCTCATTGCCCATTTCTCAGAGGATACGAATTGTTTGTAACATGATCAATCAGACGTACTTTCGAGCTAGCTACAGACATTCTCCTAGAAATGCCCATCGATCCAAACGGTGTCGGGAAGGATATCTAAGTAGATGGAGAATTAATAAACTATCACCTCAAACCGATATCAGAAACGCACGGATATTTGAGGCGGAGGACGCTCGAACTGTATGATTGAGGTGTGGCCTCTTGATCGCCCCGTCGTCTGTAGGTGTGAAATGCTTGTCCGTGGCCGCGAGGTTAATCTGAGCGCCGATATTTTCAATTTCTGTGCTTCCAATACAATATCACAGTCTCACAGAGACTAGAAGGGACACTCACGCGACGAGCAACGAGTTTGCGTAGACTGTAATTTATTCCGTAAAAACTTGGTTTAGCAAAGTGAACGATAATTTAATGCAAAGAACACATACATTTTGCTAGAACGATGTATATTCCAAACCAGATCACTGCCAGTGTATTGCAACATCAGCCGTGTTAAGATTACAAATAATAAATGAGCTTACTATTCGCCATTGTTTGGAACTATGATAGCATTTGAGAGCCAATACAAATGAAGCAATTATTGAACATACGTACGCAAATGATCGTCGCAACTGACGCCAGGCTTATCCGAAGTTATGATCCCGCTGGTCAAGAAGTTGAAAGTATCGCACCTCGTGAGCAGTCTAGTCTCTACTCGACATTAGAGAAACCTAGCTTTGAGAACATATTGACTTACGAAGAGACCATCGCACAAGCCGATTAATAACCATTGTTGTTCTGGGTATACAGCACATGATGATCAGACTGACCCAACTCACAGACCGAAGGAAAGCGTACGATTTGAGATTGGTAGGCGAGCCAAACCGCCGCAGATATACCAACATTGCCGCTGCAATCAATACATCTGCTGCACCGCCCACCGCAAGCGCCGACGTAATCAGCCAGCTGAGGCGCTGGACAAAGAGTATCCCGTTCGGATTGTTAGGCACGTCTATGAAGCTTTCGATGGTAAGCGCTAAGCCACCGACAAAGCGTAGGAATGACAGGGAAAGGCATGTGGCAGTTATGAAGACATTTTCAGATAGCCGGAAAATTCGATAGGAAAAGAAACACTGGGAAATTTGGAAGTTAGTTAGGAGAACGAAGAAGATGGAAGGGCACCATCTCTATAGTACCTGGACGATAACTGTGATGAATGTCTCTAGGAGTACAGTGGTTGAGAGTGGGTATGAATTTGGCTGTGCTGTGGTAAAGCGAGTGACGGTGTCGTAGTAAATAGTTTGGGAAGCGGTAAAAGAGTGGGAAGCTTCTAGGAACCTAGAATATCGGCTATTCTTCAACGGAAGCTCTGTTTTATATTTTAGAAAAATCCTACAATATGGTTCCAACCTGAATACCAAAACATTGCTCTATTATGATCAGCGATGAAAGAAATACACGACTCACTAGAAATTTCATTCTCCTACTGTCCTCACTCCACCTATGGTAGTAGTTATACCCTTGTGAAAGTGATATGCCAAATAGTATGAGGGCGATAAAGGTGGCCACCTCCACGGCGCCTAGATCCTCATTCGATACCAGAACGAATTGATTGACGTCTGCGTGGCGAAAGAGTGTATTGCCCGTCATACGAATTGAAGGTACTAGTAGTCGATCCACTGTATAGCAGCCTTTGTAAGGTGAGGCGGGCCTTGTCAGGCGGCGCTTGCGAATGAACCTCCGTCTTTATGTGCTATGGTTGATGTTTAAATAGCGCGGTGTACGTCGTTGGCAGTTGCCAGGATGTCATGCTATAGACGTTGCGACTTGTCATTGAGTCTGATATGCAAGATTGAAACAAGGAAGTCGTTTCTGTCCAGCTGTAGAGGTATATCCTTTGTACTGACAATTTTACAGGATTTTTGAAACTCGTATTTACTTCCTGTTGCCCACCAATTTGCGGATATTATCTGCGCCACACAAAACTGTTATAACTATGAGAGCCTCCGGTGACCGAAACAATTATGGCAGCCTTCCAACAAATGAGCGCCAGATGATCTACAAATCATTTACCTCCCTACTTATGGAGCAAGAAGTCCTGCCAGCAGCGAACCTTCATGATCATTGGCAACAATCATCGACAACACCGCCGTAGCTTTCCTCTTATAGCCATTGCTACATTCTTGATTCGAAAAAAAAAGACGGCGCTGATTGATATGTGGTGGACATGAGCGGGCGATTCGGTGAAAGATAGGGAGAGCAATCAAATTAAGCGCTAATGGGTGTGGCGATTGGGGCCAAAAAGAAAGCGACGCCAGCAAGATTTGAACTTGCGCCCTCAAAGAGGAACAGCTTAGGCGGAATCAAATTCCGATTCGAAACTGTCGCCGTAACCACTTGGCTATAGCGCCTACGAATAAAGCTGAGTCGGATATATTCATCTACGTATGGATTGACCATATTGCAGCAACATTGCGTCGGTGTGTCGGGCACTCAGCCTTCCTGCAAGCGCTGAATCCAGTGCAAATTGACACTGCACCGTGCTATGCTATAAGTACGAGGCGCTAATTCACAGCATTTGGAATGATCTAGTCGGTCCGGGACCGCAATAATGAGAACAACTATTTTGGATGAAGATCTAAGTAAATGCGTTTACTGCAAGTTTACTGATCCACGGACCACGGTAGATCGTATGCATTGGATTTGCATTGGATCGTCATCCATTCGATGATAGGAAGAAATCCGAATATTTAGACGAAAATTTGGTGTGGGCCGCGTGCCTGATTTTCCTAACATTCCGTATGTCATAGTCGTAGTAGCCGGTTAACGCCGGCCTTGGCCAGATGTCTATAAGTGGGTGACATTCCACAACGCTAACTTGAATATCTAACTCTAAATACATGGTAACAAGGGTCCTTCGCCGAGGTGCCGCTGATGGCATAACCTCCGAGCTGTCAACTGACTTTCAAGTTGACAGGTCTAAATCTCGAATTTGGAGGAGGCCTCTCGACCCCCCTTCCAAAAATTTGAATGTCAAAAACTGTCAACCGTTGCCATATTGGACCCTTTCTTTCCTTTTCCGTTAGCCTTGGATGAGCGGCATCCCGGCATGATTATCGAGTGCCCTTGCCAAGCTTCGCACTTGGTGCTCCGATTGTAGGCAGCAGACAAAGTGTGAGCTCTGCAGACTTGGAGATTATATTGTATTACCTTATCTAGAGCCTCACCTACATGTAATATAGTGTTTTGCCTAATTTTAAGGAGTATATAACTCATTAGAGGGAGACTAGAGGGCCTTGCAAGGATCTCCCTCACTGGATTCAAGATATTGACTTCAAATTAACTATTGTGAACGTTGTGGAAATCCAGGGAAATCCAAATATTCGCGATTCGAACTCCGATTGACGTCGCTTGAGGTGACACTTGAATTATAATTCAAGATATCGTTGTGGAATGTCACCCAGTATGTCCGTTGATCTCGTACTTTATCCCAGAGTCGGCGTCGGACTTTGATGGCAGCCGACTCAAACTTTCTGCAAGTTCAATATAAGCCCTTCATTTGGTATTATTGCGCCTTCTACTGGCATAAACTTCTTTATAGGAAGAGGCATGATCAACACGGCGGTCGGTGGCTCACAAAGATTTTTAGCGCCGAGGAGCAGGAGGCGGAGAGTGGCGCCGGAGAGAGTGCGGCGACAATATACGGCACTGCCTCACGTCCGGAGCAGATACCATACAAGGCCCTGAGTGTTTGCAT